GGGGGTAAGATGGGAGGGGAATACCACTTATCTAGGTAAGACTTGCATCACGTAGGACACAGCCCAAAACCTGAAGACAAGTGACCCTGAGCAGCCAATAACCATTTAGAAGTTCGTGCCCTTTGCTCTGTAGAACTGCCCCAACACAGCCACCGTGGACATCAGACTCCAGCCTCAGAGCCTCTGCCCCAGCAAGATGTGAGAGCCAGCAAGAGACGGACGGGAGACGCACTAGAAAAATGCAGCCGGTTTTCTAGAAGGCTTTTCCAGGTTTTCAGCACCATAGCTTGAAACCTGTGACCTGAACCATCTCCGCCTGGGTTCCGCTCCTCAGCTTCAGCAGGCAGATCCCTGGGCCCCTCTCAGAGTCCTGGGCAGCACACAGAAAGCCTGCTGTCCCTGCTTTGCAGTGCAGGGCAGCGATGCTCAGAATGATACTCCTGAGCAAGTAAGATCAAAGTAAGTGCTCTGCCTGGTGAAATGTAAAAGTTGCTCTCTGGGAGCCGTGTTCTGATCAGGGCAGAGATATCTAAAGTCACCAGAAAAAGGGGGGAAATGCCACTCAAACCAGCAAGGCTTGATTTGATAAAATATCTTTAAAAGCAATCAGGATGTTTGCTTTTAAGGCAAAGTCCAATGCAGGAAGTGGAGAAAGTGGATGGGGACGTACATAAAACCAGACTGGCCGTGTGTGGATGATGGTTGAAGCTGGTGATGGTGACATGGGTTCATTCTCGTATACTGTGTGTTTTTATGTTTCCAAATCTCCATAATAAAAAGTTAAAGAAAAAAGAGAGCGTTATTAACTACTAGAGGCCCGGTGCACAACATTTATGCACTGGGGCCCGGGGGCGGGGGGGTCCCTCAGCTCGGCATACGCCCTCTTATAGTCCAGGACACCTCGGGGGATGTCCACCTACCAGCAGTTAGACATCCCTCTCACAATCAGGGGCTCTCACAGTCCAAGACCCCTCGCTCTTTACTGCCCACCTGCAGTGGAGGTGGGAGAGGCTTGAGCACGGCTCCTGCTTTCAGCGTCTGCCCCCTGGTGGTCAGTGCGTGTCATAGCGACCAGTCGTTCCACTGTTTGGTCAGTTTGCATATTAGGGTTTTATTATATAGGATAAATATATTCAAACACCAGTGTCACAGGGACCAACATTACCTGTCATAATTCTGCCCAAGTAATGCCTTCCTTGAATTTCCCAGGCTCATTGGCAAACTAATCCCTACTGTGAACTAGATCTGTTAGCATTAAATGTTCCATGTATGTCAGTGAAAACTCCCTTGTTCTCATTCCTGGAGAAAACATTCGGATGGTGCTAGCACAGCTCCTCAATCCACAGTCATCGTCTGCATTACCTGTGACCAGACCAGGATTCTGGTTTTGATTCTAGGCGTATTACGAAGAATTAGAAAAAGTTTACCATCTAAGATAATATGACTGGTAAACCCACTTAAGCCAGGCACAGGTACGCACATACTGTCACAACCCACGGAGAGTGAATGCACAGCGAGGGGGTGAGGTTCACCTCCCACAGTGTGGCCTGCAGGATCAGGACGCCTGATTCCACATGTGCAAGGCATGTGTCCGTTTGACATCCACTCATGTACTAAATATTAGCAAGGCTGGGTTTCTCTGACTATACCTACCTCATCTGTATTCCTGCAGACACAAAACCTCTAATGTCCTTCCCACACTCCAGCGAGTTGCCTCCACCTCTCCTGGGGTGCGTGTTCTTGTCATTGTTCTGTTTGATGAAACAATATTTCCTAGTATACCAGAAGACACTGTTATTTTAATTTTTCTTCTCATTT